ATATTTGCCATAGCTACCCGGGCCCTTTATCTTGCCGTTCAGACTTGATCTCTCTCTCTCTCTTTTCTGACTCGTCAATAATCACCATGTAGTCGTTTCGTTCGTCTTGGTCTCTTGTCTCATCGTCTATAATAAATGTCGTCCCCCAACCTACCTGTTCCCGTTGTAATTTCTGGATATGTCGTCAGTCATCTTGTTTCGAACTCAACATTGGCGCCCGATTATTGATCGACCCACGACCCTGAGATCATCCCATGCCCAGCCGTCCTCAACCGCCATTCGTCTCGTCTATGTCAACCTCGTCTCGTCCATGTCAGTCTCGTCTCTCCTACGCCAACCTCGTCTCGTCTCTATCAACCTCGTCTCTCCTACGCCAACCTCGTCTAGTCTATGTCAACCTCGTCTCGTTCAAGCCATGCAGGTCAGCTACCTTTCTTTCTTTCTTTTTTGTATGCGTTCCTTCTTCGTCAAATTTTTTTTTCTTGAATTGTTTTGTAGTGTGTGTGCGCGCGGGTGTCCTTCATTATTAGGGGTCCGATCATGGTGAGCCACGCTCTCTTATTTATGTCGTATATTAAAGTGTAACTAGGCTCTATTAGCCGTGCAAAATACTAGTCCTCAGAATACAATTCAAGTCCCTCGTCGAACTCCAATAGTTATTTTTTGTGCCATGTTTTGAAGGGGCGTTTGGGCCCGTTGTTATTGGCAATGTACACACTATAGTATGAGTAGTACAGGAACGTTGACGGTTGTAATGATCTGTAAACTGTAGTGCATTTTTTAGTACATACTTTTGTGAGGCCCGTGCGGTGTGTGTGTGTGTGCGTGTGTTTTCTCCTTCAGTCATTTTTTTTAAATCTTGTTCTCTCTTTTTTTTCTCTCCGCGAGGACGCGGGATTTTTTTCATGGAGGGGTGGTATGTTAGGTACCTCCTCCCGTACCTTTTCTAGCTGGCGTGCATGCACTTACAAACTCACCTTTTGTCTCCTATTGTTCCGTTGGCCTGGGTAGCTACTTGCGCGCCCATATTTGCCATAGCTAGCCAGGCCCTTTATCTTGCCGTTCAGACTTGATCTCTCTCTCTCTTTTCTGACTCGTCAATAATCACCATGTAGTCGTTTCGTTCGTCTTGGTCTCTTGTCTCGTCGTCTATAATAAATGTCGTCCCCCAACCTACCTGTTCCCGTTGTAATGTCTGGATATGTCATCAGTCGTCTTGTTTCGAACTCAACACATGTATAAACAATTAAAATGAAACAATTCCTGAACGTTGGCGTGTGACTATCATCAGTGGAACATCGTCACATAGTAAGAACCACTAAAACAACCAGTTATATAGCTAGAGTAATATGAAAAGAAGCGTGAGAATGCAGCACAGCTAGTGGTTATGCATAACGCGTGTAGTGTGAACCTTTGCAGTGTATCTGAGAATGGTGGAAGTAGATGAATGTGGCAGCTGTGAGTGCGTGTGGACAAAACTGGTGAGTGCGTAATAATTAAAAAGTGTGAATGCTACAACATTTTATTTTTGCTTGCATAGAACAGGGTCACTTGTGCGAATATGTACAGCGTCCAACACCTGCAACTGTTTGAAGAAACGTGCGCAACAAATAACACTAAACCAGGAATCGTCAAAAAACTTACGACAATCCGGACTGGACACCAAATGCTTGTAGATGGTAGAATGGCTCTTGTCGATGTCGAACTCCTCCTCGTCAGCATCACTCTCATCCTCCACTTCCTGTTCCTGCTCACCCTTGCTTTCCTCCTGACCATCCTGTTCATCCCCATCATCACCCTCCATCTCCATCTCCTCAAGCCATCGCTTCCATCAAACAACACGTCCCATTGTCCTTGTTGTCAAAAGCGGCCAGGGCAAGCAGACCAAAGCGTGGGAGGCCACGAAAACACCCGTTGCCTACTACTACGCTTGTCAGTATTACAACACAACCAGGAACGGATACAACACCGGAATCAACAGGAGCGCAACACATGAATCTGGTGTCACTCTTGACGACAACACCACGGCATGGGAGACCGCCGGACGATCGTCTGTTAACAAACCCGACGGCGGTAACGGAAAGATCACCAGGAGAACGAAACGAAAATGGAGGAAAAACGAATCTGAGGAGAAGCCAGAAACTAGCGGAGACACGACTGAGAAAAATCGAGAAGGCGGAACCAGTAGCGGCAGGTGAAAGTACGGGCGCAGCAGTGAACACGTCAAGGAGAAAGAAGCGATGGCATGAGGAGATGGAGATGGAGGATGATGATGGGGATGAACAGGATGGTCAGGAGGAAAGCAAGGGTGAGCAGGAACAGGAAGTGGAGGATGAGAGTGATACTGATGAGGAGGAGTTCGACATCGACAAGAGCAAGTCTGCCATCTACAAGCATTTGGTGTCCAGTCCAGATTGTCGTAAGATGTTTGACGATTCCTGGTTTAGTGTTATTTTTTGCACACGTTTCTTTAAGCAGTTGCAGGTGTTGAACGCTGTATATATTCGCACACGTGACCCTGTTCTATGCAAGCAAAAAGAAAATGTTGTAGCACTCACACTTTTTAAATAATACGCACCCGCCAGTTTTGTCCACTCGCACTCACAGCTGCCACATTCATCTACTTCTACCATTCTCAGATACACTGCAAAGGTTCACACTACACGCGTTATGCATAACCGCTAGCTGTGCTGCATTCTCATGCTTCTTTTCATATTACTCTAGCTATATAACTGGTTGGTTTAGTGATTCTTACTATGTGACGATGTCCCACTGATGATAGAAAGGAAGAAAACGTTCTGGAATTGTTTCATTTTAATTGTTTATACATGGTTATGAGCGCACAATTGTTATTTTTCATTGCTATTTTACGACTGTTGTCTCCTTGTCGGTTATTCAAGTCAATTTTTCTTCAGACTTTTCCCACTTGTCTCTTTCCCTCAAACCAGTTACGATAATAATATTATTAATAACAATCTTCACTAGTTTGAGGTAAAGTGACAAACGGGAAAAGACTGAAGAAAAAAATGACCGTCACCACCAGGACTGTTCAACATTTCCTTCACACTTCGTTATAATAATACGAAACTCGGATGTTGAGCCATAAATATATGTAGAAGAGAAAAGGACATATGGATACGAGTTAAGAGTAACTCTCCATCACTGTAACATGATACTATATACAGTCAGAAAGTGCAATAACTAGGCACAAAACGTGTTTTGTAGTCAACTAGTCCATCACAATGTCATGCATGAGGAGTACTGTAGGAGTTTGGCTTTCGGCTTGTACAATTCGTTTTCGCAAAGCTTCCCTTTCTTTACTAATCTTTGAGATTTATGACCCACCCAAGTTGGGTGGTGTGCTGCTTTTCTGCTTCGAAGTGTAGTTAGACCGCTTTGTCAAATATCGTACTGGTCTCGTCATAGTCCAGTAACAATCGACATTCTATGTTTCGTTGGGACTGTAGCTTTTGCTCGTTTTCGTTGCGTTTGCCTTCCCCTCTTTGGTCTTTCCATAACCTTGAACCTTCCTAAGTTGGAAGGCTGTCGGTTAGCGCTACGGAGATGTGTTGACGCTATGTGTCAGGACGTCGAATGTCTCAGTACCCTGTCAGTCTTGTGCCTAGTTATTGCACTTTCTGACTTTATATAGTATCATGTTACAGTGATGGAGAGTTACTCTTAACTCGTATCAATAATATTACGAGTTGAGAGTAACTCTCCATCACTGCAACCATTATACAGTCAGAAAGTGCAACAACTAGGCACAAAACTGACAGAGTACTGAGACATTCGACGTCTTGACACCTAGTCCTAGCTCTAGTCCTAGTCGGTTAGCGCTACGAAGATGTGTCGAAGCTAGGTGTCAGGACGTCGAATGTCTCAGTACTCTGTCAGTTTTGTGCCTAGTTGTCGCACTTTCTGACTGTGTATCTGGTTGCAGTGATGGAGAGTTACTCTCAACTCGTATCTATATTTCTTTCCTTTCTACATAAATCATATTAATAATAATAAAATTGTATGCGGACATGTGTACGTCCAGCTGCATTCATTCCACTTCCAGGGCGTCAAGGGCTGTGGAAGCTGATGGCGCCGGCTTTGCACGTTATGGTCGGATTTCAGTGAGCGCAACTGTAGTTACTGCATGCAGTGTGTGGGTGTATTGCATGCAGTGTGTGGGTTTATTGCATGCAGTGTGTAAGTGTGGGTGTATTGCATGCAGTGTGTGGGTGTGGGTGTATTGCAGGCAGTGTGTGGGTGTATTGCATGCAGTGTGTGGGTGTAACTGCGTCCCACCAACCGGTGTGGATTCACAGGAACCGTGAGTTACGAAGTCTGAAGAAAATGTTGAGCGGTCTGGTCTACGCTGGGATGACAGCTACACCATAGCTCCCTGGTTAGAGCGTAGCTGGCCTCAAGCCAAGGTTCCTGGTTCGAGTCCTGGTGCTGACAACAAATTTTTCGGTCAGACTTAAATAAAATTGTTTCTGTTATGTACTAGTATTTTTATAGAAAAGAAAGGACAAAGGAGCTACAAGTTACGCTAGAATGTCCTTGCTCTTTCCTATAAATTAATCCTTGGCTCTCCATCTGAGTCCATACTAGTATCTTTGTTTTGCGTTGTAATGATGTTCTACGCCAGTTTATAGTAAAAAAGAAAAGGACCAAGAAACTACAAGTTACACTATAATGTCCACTAACACAACCAGTTACTAAACAATCAGCTCATGCGATAACATTGCACGACACTGACCGACGGTACTGACGTTCTACAACTAACTGGCTAACAGCTCTAGCGCATCTTGGATGCGCACTCCAACAGCCTTCCAACTTGGACGCTTCTAAGTTGTAATATAAATTTTCTTTACTATAAATTTATCCTTGACTCTCCTTCCGAGTCCACACAATGGTTTACTGTTTCATTCACTTCTAACTGTTACACAAATGGCGACATCACCCGTTCGGTTCTGCAAATTCAAATCATGTACTAGTATATCTACCTACCTACAAACAAAAACATACACAAACACATACACACATACCCACACTCACACACACACACACACACACACACACACACACACACACACACACACACACACACACACACACACACACACACACACACACACACACACACACACATACACACATACACACACTCACACACACACACACACACACACACACAAGCATGCACGCACGTTCGCACACACAATACAAACTCACTCTCATACAGTCTTAAACTGCTGAGAGCACTTCTTTGTATCGAAATCACGCCAAATGCGCGCATCAAACAAACAAGAAACTCACGAGGATTCTTGGTTTGCCTTTTCGATAGGGTCGAACTTCATCATACCAGCTTCCTCTTTCTGAATACGCCTCCGTCGTACCATGAAGCCGCCAAAGGCCAGGACCATGCATCCGGCCAAGATCAGCGGAGAGAAGAGAAGAGCGAGGTTCAACGTACTGCCCTCGCCTTCGCCATCGTCATCCTTTTCTTTGCCGTCACTGCGACGTCGAACACCTTCCCTACCCAGTGTTGTGGCTGATTCGACAGTAGAAGTCCCAAAAACAGGTTCGCCACTAGAGTGTTGCTCAGTGACATTCTTGTCATGCCATACCCCAGTCTGTACGTCAGGATTAGAGGCACCTGGAGCAATGGTAGCTGCTACCGAACCGTTTCCTTGGGTGGTAGCGTTGGTAGCAATGTGCACAGCATCACTGGAGCTGCTGTGTGTAGAATTCAAACCTTCTGCTTGCACGGTAGCATTGGGAGCAATGTATCCAGTATTATTGCCGGAGCTGTTGTTCGTAGAAAGCAAACCTCTTTGCGTGGTGGCGTTGGGAGCGGGGTATCCAGTATTGCCGGAGCTGCTGTTCATAGAATTCAAACCTTCTCCTTGGGTGGTAGCGTTGGGAGTGATGTATCCAGTAGTATTACTGGAGCTGTTAAATTGAGAAGCCAAACCTTCTCCCTGCGTGGCATTAGGGGCTATCGGATGGCTTTCATTAGTATCTGAACCATTATCAGATTCAGACGGACCTTGCTCTTGCATGGCAGGGCTACCCGTGGTGTTCTCTGGAGTTCTGAGCGTGGTTGGCGTTGTGTTGTTGGCTGAGGTGATTGTTGAAGTGGTGGTAGGCTCGGTGGTTGGCGTGGTCGCTGGACTGGTGGTTGGATCGGTGGTTGGTGTGGTTGTTGGGGTGGTGGTTGGGGTGGTGGCTGGGGTGGTGGTTGGGGTGGTGGTTGGCGTGGTCAGTGGGGTGGTGGTTGGACTGGTTGTCGGAATGGTTGGTGTAGGTGCTGTAATGAACAGAGAGAACACCAGACCGGGAAGCAGATTAGTTTTCCATCGAGTGCCTGCATTGCACTAGTACAAATCATCTACCAGCACACACCTACTTGGTTCACCTTATCAATATTGTCGCTTATCTGTAAGCTTTGTTTTTATGTCGCCAATGCTCACTTGCCAATCCATTTCATCCCAATTTCGGTTAGTAAATTAGTTTATTTGTAACTGACAGGTCTAGTTAGATTTCAATTGGAGTTCGAGAGCGACGAGAGGGTGATTTTGTTTGACGCTGCGCCACATCAAAATAGATTATCTTGACACTCTGCGCGGGCAAGAGCAGTTTGATGCACAAGGCTACTCGGAATTAGTTCCATTTTGCAAAACGCCCGAGATCGGGCATTGCTCGTCAAGCTGAGGTCGCAATTGCCTCATCTCCAGCTCAATGCTCCGAGTATCCAGCGAACTGTGGAGATTTACAAGTACCGCAAGCGTTGTCGTCATTCAAAATACAATCTTGCAAGGAACGACGACTGATTTGAAGCACACAGGTAGTCTTGCTGCCGATCAGAAGTCCTACAGAGATGGCGACCGTAACGATCGACTTCCCTTTACAAAATATCCAGGCAGCGGGGAGGAATAGAGATGAGCTTGCCAAAGGGAGAGAGTCGATCTTGAGCAAGCATATTTGTGACCAGCGCCGAGAGCAGCAACGCGCAGGACAAAAAAAGTATGAACCCACCTTTGGACAATAAATTCCTCATGGCTAGATGTCATTCTATGCGTTACCTTCCATCGCACCAATTATTATTACCTCAAGTGCAAGCATTGTTGACCAAAGTCTAAGTTCAAATTGTCGAAATATAAGCGACAATATTAATGACGCGGACCAATTCCCCCCCCCCCCCTTCTATCACCCCTTACACCGACCAGACTTCAAAGATCAAGGCCATAACTGCAAGGATTGGCGTGAGCAGGCTCAAACAGTCTCTCGGCCGAACTTCGATCCATTGGCGAGAAGAAGCGGTTGCGTGATGCATTGCGCTCGCAAGACCTCCTTATTCTCCCAGTTGCCTAAACCGCTTTTTGTACTGTGCCAAAGGTGATATGCGGTGTGGTGAGTGAGTGAGTGAGTGAGTGAGTGAGTTGACGGAGTTTACGCCCCAGGGGTCCCTCACACTGGTACTTGCTAAGCCGTGCTGTCTGCCTAACTCACATCTGGGTAGCAGTATCACCAGACCGGTGGATTCTTCCCCCCTCCCCTTGAACGATCATGCGGGTTATTTTTTGCGTAAGTTCGCACTCGATACTCGCTAACACTGCACAAAGGGCCTATCGGGTAATGGGAAGGCTTTCTGCCCACCGGTTATCTTTCGAAAACAACTGCGGACGCCCACACCCACACCTCTAATCAAGGTGTCAACGACCGAGAACAAAGCAACCTGGAAACCGTGGCCCTATCAGGGGCTATCCGGCAATATCGATAGTTTTCACAAAATGAAGAAAAAAGAACTTTAGTTAGGACCCTCCGTCGCCCACCCACCCCCTGGACGAAAAATAGATTGACTTGACAGCAAGAACGCCTTGGTGTCTCAAATATCGATATTATTGAAAACGAAACGCCCCTTGACCCACCAATAAACGAAATTTTTCCCTTCGCTTAAAAGATCGATAATTACGGACAGACCCTTTATTTTGCTGCTTTATTAAAATTATTTCCCAAAGAAGTGAAAGGTAGCACAAATCCAACAACATTTTGCAATTCTAGGAGTTGTGGATGGGGGGGGGGGGGGCAGGGAGAAACTCTTTCCTTCTGTGAAAATCATTGGTATTGCCAGATTACCCCTAGAGATGGTCTTTAAAATTCAAGATGGTGTTTAAAACATCCTTGGCTTAATTTCAGTGTATTCCCATGCATTCCCATGCATTGTTTTTTTCTTTTTCATTGTTCTGCATTGTTCTTTTGCCTTTGTACGCGTACTGTGGTATTATTATTAATATTATCATTATTGTCTCTTTCCCTCAAACTAGTGAAGATTATCATTATTATTATTATTACTTGAAGTATTAGTACTAGGCTGTACCAAATGACTGTATGGTAGGGTTGGTTGGTGCAATGGTTTGGATGGGGTAACAAGGAAGCAAAAAGGAAGAAGGAAAATTTTATATTCAATGGTTTGAGGGGAAGAGGCAAACGGGAAAAGTCTGAAGAAAATATTGATTGTCACCACAAAGCGTATACAAAGCGTTTGCTTATGAAAACTGTGGACGACTTACGGAATTCACACACAACGTATAATTGGGCGTTCACATTCATTACCAAGCCCAGGGGTCCCGTTTCTGAATCCCTTGTGCGTTTAGCATTCGTTCCGGGGAATTCTGTGTCAAGCCAGGCGACATAATGATAGTTGCCATCACTGTCAGCAGGGAGCAGTTCTGATGTACAGCCAAGTATATATGAGTTTAGAGTAAGTAGTTTGCCACCCTGACCCTGGCACACTGCCTTGGCCGTTGTATAATTGAAGTACTTGTAGTCATGTGTCCGTTTGAGTACTGACGAAGTCCTAGGGCAGAATTGGTGACCGGTCAGTGTAGCATCTGAACATATACAAAAACAAATGAAATCATTTACTATACTTGGATGGTGAGCAAAATTAAATTTTGGTGAAAAAGGAGAGGGACAAAAACAATACGAGTTATGACTAACTGTCCACCAACGTAACCAGATCTTATACAGTCAGCAAGTGCGATTTACTACTATTAGTTTGCTTAAAAATTTATTAAAACGCCATCTAACAGTCGTTCGAAACTAACTGCACAGTACTGTGTGACTGCATGTAGTGGCTCTTGATGGACGGCACTTACACAAGTTAGCCGACGTTCGGTTTTTTCTTTGGTGACGGATATTATTCAGTTTAGGTGAGACCAAAATAAAATCGAGATTCCCGGGTCGGACCCATGTGAAATTGGTGCGGGCGGGCACATTTTTTACTTTTAATTATTCCTATGTATGTATGCACCACATGTAATGCTGAACATTTTTTCCAGTATTTTCCAGTATTTTTTACTTTTATATTCAATTTTTTTTACAGACAACATGTATTCAGTACGCGGTTTACGCTTTCAATTTTTCTGTATTTCGTCTAACGATAACGATGGATCTGGTCTGTACATCAGGGAGTCGTACACGCCCGGGTTTGTGTGACTCCATGTCACAGATCTACTCACACGATATCGCGATCAGTGTAGTATCCCTGCCCGACCAATACGGAAGCAGTACGGAACTAATACGGAGCTTTGCCTGATGTATATTTTAGTGTATCTCCGTATGTAAGCGTACGGCGTCTGCTGCATAAAAGCGGCTGCGCATTTCTGTTTTGATGAAGAGAAGATTAGATTAGATTAGATAGCAATGAAAGCTAACTCGAAGATGAGATTTTGATAGTAACGAGCTATTCAACCTCCAGGTGTGCACCGGAGAGAAAGTCAGTTATTTTGCCGCTTCTTCTTTCACTAACAATTATATCTCAGGTGTGTACCTGAAAGAAGTAGAATAAAAGTAATTCTTGTTGATTTCACCGCGCCTACCACTCGGCTACCCATTACAATCAGTACGTACTGCACATGCATATTAACTGTTAAAAAACCCAGCTTTTGCTCGATTTTGGTGCGGGAGGGCCCAGGAATCTCTATTTTTTGGTCTCACCTAACTAAGAAATATTTACTAATTAGAGGGAAAGACAAAGCAAACGAGAAAAGCCTGAAGAAAACCAGTCACTGCCAGGAGTCCCAGGACTCGATCCAGGGACCCTCGCTTGTAGCCAGCGATTCTCTAACCCCTGAGCTATGGTGTGAAAAAAGAAATATGGCTGGCATGGAAAACGTTACATTAGTAGAAGCCGACGCAAACCGGGGTCCGCGGCACTTCATTTTTGCATCTGTGTGCATGTGTGTGTGTGTGTGTGTGTGTGCGTGCGTGTGTGTGTGCGCACGCTTGTGGAAAAAGACAAAAAGATGTGCCCAGAAGCAACTCAACTGACCAGAAGTCTTGGCCTCAGCGTTGCTACTAGGCATCGAAAAGGGGGTGGGAGGGGGGGGGGGGAGCATGCACAAGAAGACTGTGAAACAAACAAAAGCTACAGAATACCACACCCATTTTCAAATGCTAATGTGCTTCTCTCTGGCCATATGTAGCGGCTCAGTAGCTTCCTTGTTCATAATTATAATGGCTTGTCTACTGTAACAATTATGATTTTGCTGGCCAAATAGCTGAGGCTGCAGTCAATTCACCATTCATCTCCTGTTAACAATGATCTTCTTTAGTTTATTTTACCGTAGTAAATGTACATATAGACGCACATGCCTATATTCAGATATAAGCTCAAGGCTTGCAAAGCATTAATTTTATTAAACTTTTCTATACCTCCCCGCGGTAAACAATCCGTGCCACCAGGCAATTGCACGAGCAGGCAGAAACTATTCTCCATCGCCCTAGGGTGGGAACATTCAGACTTCATTTACGGACTGGAAATCGTCTTGTGCCGGTGGAAATGTCCGTCAGTGGCAGCTCAAGCTTAACGACTAAAACAAGCTGATCATAACTTCTGTAAAGGCTTGTGCTCTCCTGCTGTCGGATGCAATGGTCCATGTTCGTGTCGTAAATCGATGGTTTCATGCAGTATGAGACAAGCAGAACATCGAAAAATCAAGTACGAAGACTAGCAAGCTGCAATTTTAACTTGGCAGACCAAGTATGATATAGGCAAACAAGAACGACACAGGAGGAGACCCAGCGTCATGGTAACACTGGACGTGGCCACAAACGATGAGGACAATGACGGAAACGGCACTGACGGAGGAAATTCTAGCAGTGAGTTGAGTGAGGGAGAGAGCATAGGTACTATGGGAGAGTTTGAGAGTGAGTGTGGGCGTGTGTTTCGATCTCATAAGTCTTCTGAATATATAATTATTTTGTATCTCGCCCTGAATGTTGCCACGTGTATTCTGATTCTTCTTTCTCCGTTTTGTGCTGTGGACGTCATTGTTATCAGTTACAAGTGAAAGTGTTGGAGGCTGTTTTCCAACGCATTCACAAGCCTGACCTTTGTGTTCAAAAACAGAGTACTATCTATTTGAGGGGAAGGCGAGCGCATCGAAAAATGTGCACAAGATAAGTCCTACGGTAACATAAAATGCCTCTTTAGTCCTACCATAATGTTGAACCTTCCAAGCTTTAAGGCTGTTAGTTTGCACACTGGAGGTGTGTAAGAGCTAGGTTTCAGGTCGTTGAATGTCTCAGTATTAAATATGTCAGTTGTTTTGCCCCGTTATCGCACTTTCTTTATTATCTTGTTACAGTCGTGGATAGTTGCTTCATAACTCGTTTTCAAGTGATTTCTTCTATTTTTCGTATTGTTGTTCTTCACATTACATTTCTATTATAAATGTAGAAAGGAAAAGGACATAAGGATACGAGTTAAGAGTAACTCTCCATCACTGTAACTGGATACTATATACAGTCAGAAAGTGCAATAACTCGTAATCGTTATCGTCCAGTAACAATCGACATTCTTTGTTCCGTTGGGACTGTAGCTTTTGCTCGTTTTCGTTGCGCTTGCCTTCCCCTCTTTGGTCTTTCCATAACCTTGAACCTTCCAAGTTGGAAGGCTGTCGGTTAGCGCTACGGAGATGTGTTGAAGCTAGTTGTCAAGACGTCGAATGTCTCAGTTGTCAGTTTTGTGCCTAGTTATTGCACTTTCTGACTTTACAATAGTATCCAGTTACAGTGGTGGAGAGTTACTCTTAACTCGTATCCATATTTCCTTTTCCTTTCTACATTTATTTATGGCTCAACATCCGAGTTTCAAATAATAATAATAATAATACCACAGCACGCGTAGTAATATAATTATGTGGGTAAAATCTAGGTAGATCTGGACCCGGAGGCGCCAGATCAGTGAAGGTCTTCGGCTGAGGCTCTTCAACGCCCACGTCCTTACCTACAACTGCGGCACTTGGGGCCTACCAATGTCGGAGCTCGCGCGAATGGATTCGTTCCACAGGACCCAGCTAAGGAGCATCATCGACATGCGGTACCCTAAACGAATTAGCAATGACACTCTGTATAAGCGCTGCGGAGCTGTCCCCATCAGCGAGATGATCACAGGGCAGCGCTACAGTCTCGCTAGCCATACCTTTCGTTTGACCCCAGCTACTCCTCCACAGTTGGCAGTGAATATGTATCTTCGCCTGGCCAACGACGAGGGCACTGAACGCTTCAGGGGTCGACCTCGGACGACTTTGGTAACGGTCTTGCAGACGGAACTGTTATCATGGCATGGACTTACCCTCCACCTGCCGCTAGATGTTGACGCAGTCCACACAATGGCAGCGGACCGACAGGCGTGGCGTGGAGCCCGCCCCACCTAACAGGACTGACCAGACATGTTGTTTGCATATTCTATTTTATTTTATACTTTGGATGAAGTTTTCCATTAGTCGTATTGGTGTTGTTGCTGACGGCTTTTGTTGACGTCACTTCTGTCATTTCCTTGTATCGTATTACTCTTCAGACATCAATCCTGAATGGCATAAGCGAAAGTGGCACCCCGCCACCTACGCAGACATGCTTTTAATAATATAATAATATTGTGGGTAAAATTATACGTTCCGCTTCTGTCCTATCTGCTATGAGCAAATTCTGTCTATTGCCATCCATACAAAAAACCGGTAATCAATGTGTGGTAAGCTTTCAAACTCTCCCACTTGCAGGCGACTTTTCTTAATCAACGTAAACACGCAATCAGTGTACTCACCGGCATTGCAATAAGGTACTGCAGTGAGTGTTCCATCAGCTTGGCATCTTGGCGTCGGATTTCCCACCAGCGGGTGGTCAGCATCGCACGAATAGGTTACCTTGTGTGTAACTCGGACGGGTGTCCTGTCGGCGCTTCCATTAGCAATAGCAGGTATGCTGCACATAGCTGCACACCAAATAAGGAAGATATTTTTGTTACCGACAAATCCAAGGCAAAACAGAGAGGAGTGTCGCAAATTTTTTTTGGTTTTTGACGAGTACAACCCTGGTGCTAAATAGCAGGAAATTTTCGGACGGAAACATTTTCGGACAGAGCCGAATTTCAACCTTTCGTACGGATTTTATTTTTGTGCAGTGCTGCATGCTAAATGCACTTGTTTGCATGAGTACATCCGTGCCTCATCATGTCCTTATTATAATTATAGTGCACATAATTTCACATGAACAAATTTTAGGTCAGTCGCATTTTTTCAGCCACACAAGTTGTGTGAAATGTTGCTTTGCGTCCATGAATCGTGGTTTGACCGTATTGTCCAAAAGGGCTTTCTAGTATTGTCATGGACATACATGAACATCCACCAACATCCTTAACAGCTGAGATTTTCACTTCATGCTTATCTTGGCCCTACCGTTTTCCTGGTTTCAATTTAATTATATATATTTTTTAATTTTTTGAAATCTCACATCCGCACTTTACTCCGGATATACCTTGAAATGCCAAACATTTGTTAACCTTTGGAAGTCCATAACTTTTTTAATTCCTCGGAATTTGTGGCAGTCACGAAAAAATGCGTACTCAATTCCCAACATAACTTTGGATTTTACTTCACCGATTTTGAAGATCTTGGGCTCGTTGGAAAGCTCTTGATGACATACATACAATGAGCCCAAATTCCCCAAGAGCAATATTCATTGTCCCCCACAATGCGCTCCAAACGTGATTCCAGCTCCAGATCTGAGACAAAATTGGTCACCTGCAGCCATTTCACTGAATCTAGCTCGGAACTGTTCAAATATTTTCGAGTAGAAGCTTACCTTGTCGTGTCTTCAAGCCGCCCCGGTCCTGGCACGTGCCGTGCCGCCTGTCCTGAATCTGGGGAAATCCCCGTTTTCACTAACTGCTGACTCGCAGCACGCAGCGGAGAAAATTAATAATACTCGATTGCACGCTGCCCAATCAAACTTCATCGCAGAGACTTCGGATCTGTTCAAGGCGACAGCTGAGAGTTCTCAACCACCTAGACCTCATGTGGCTGAGAACCGAAAGTTTGACTGTGCCCACATGTGCACAAAATGCCCATGGTTCGAAATCGAACCATGGACGGCAAAGGGGTCCAAATTATACTCATGTGCAAGTCATACTCCACACAGATGCAGCACATTATTTCAGGCAATGTTTTCATGGTACATACACACATCTGTACTCACTGGTGTCGCAGACAGGTACTGAAGTGAGTGTTCCATATCCTTGGCATCTTGGACTCGGATTGCCCACGAGCGGGAGGTCATCATTGCACGAATACGTTACATTGTGTGTAAGTTTGACGGATGTCTTGTCGGCTTTTGCATTAGCAATAGTAGGTACATCGCAGAATAAATCTGTACGCAAAGTATAAAGGGTTTTTAAGAAAAATAGAAGAGCTGGAATGCGAAAAAAAACGCAAAATCCACTTCGTCCCTTCTCGAATAATGGCCAAAAGGATAAATTTCATGCTTGGTTTGTATCTAAACCCATATTTGGATTCAAGTTTAGAAGTTGTTCTAGTCTGATTTGAAATGCAAATTCCTGGCTGGTCCTACTTTTGCTGAGAAACTTCCAGGAAGCCCGGTATTGTCTCAGTACTAGAAACTTCCCAAATCTGCCGCCCGAAAAATTCCCCGAAAACAGTGGTTTTGAAGAAATCACCGACCTTTCCGCGAATATGCAATTTTTGCGCTGAATTCGCAGAAAGTCGATGTTTTGGTGCCTGAACCGAATGCAAATACAATTTCAGTAACCTTTACTTTTCTATGAATTTATCCTAGCCTCTCCATCCGAGTCAATTTCTGTAAGCATAATTATTCTACCAAGAGTACACATCCCCACACGCACTCTTGATTATACTGCGAAAGGTGACTGCAACTTTAGTCAGTTCCGAAATTGGTCATCAGGAAAAGACGCCGAAATCAATGGCTGTCAAGAAATCGCCAATAATTGCACCGAATTTACAAATTTTGCTGTGAATTTGCCGAAAATGTTTCACTGCCTCTATAGTGTGCATGTACTTGGAAGTAAAGGTACATTGCTGTGCTCTAGCACAATCATATACCCCCTTCACCACCTCTAACACCCGAAAAAAATAATTTTTACGCCAAAAACAGGGCACCCGGTTTTTACCCGGAAAATGGGGTACTATCAACAGTACCCCATTTTTTTCGGGCAGGGGATGTACCCGTCACAGAACCCGCCCGACACATACTACTACTGCGAGCGGTGACTTAAAACACTAGTACATGTACCGCTTTGAAAGAAATTCTGTTTGTATGTTTGTGCCGTCGGTCTGTGTCGTGCAATGTTATCGCATGAGCTGCTAGTACAGCAACTGGTAGCGCAACGTGTAGCACTTTCGTCCTCTTTTCTTCTTATGAATTAATCCTTGGATCTCCACCCGAGTCTAAAAGATATATAAGGAGTTGTTTAGATCACACGATCGTATTGCCTTGAAAAGGGTACGAATGTGGATGATGGATGATATTAATTCTTCTCGTCTAAAAGCGTGTTGATGCGTGCCTGTACAGTGGGTAGAATACGTATGCTACGCACGGCGTAGAGCTTGCAACGTGGCTCAAGAGCTCAGACTTGCTGCAGCCACACTGCTTTGCCAGCACAGCTAAGACTCTCATACACCACTGCATGCTTGTGCTCCGGATTGAATCGTGTTTCCAAACGGTGCATCATGCGCAGTTCAGTTTGCTGTTGTTGCTGCTTTATTCAATTTCCGTCATGACAGGTATTCTATGGTTGTTGTTGTTGCTGCTACAAGAATCAAGGCTTTCCAAAACTTGATAATACATCTTATCTATGAAGAGTATGAGCGATACAGGCATTTTTTATCGCATTAACTCCGGATGTCGGCTTAAAGTACAATTTTTTTCCGGAATTGAAATTTTCGTGCTCCACTCTTCAGCCGAATATACGGAATTGAGGTGGATTACTATGTAAAATACTTTTTTTATGTTTATTGCACAAGGCAGACAACAGAGACTAAAACCATTCTTGTGATTCCGAGTTTGTGTTCAAAACTATTATCAGACCGGATGAGTATGTTTGAAAATTTAAGGGGTTTCTGTTGTTCTGCCTTTTGTAGTACGCTCTGCCCTTATTAGGGTATTAAGCACTATTTGCGGCAAGGTGTTCAGCCACTTTGAGTATTACGTTTCGTAATACAGTTGTGTACAGTTGTGGAGTTATGATGAGCTAATCACAAGCAGCCGGAATAGACAAAACTAGCAACTGTCAGTGGTTTCTACAAAGTGTAAATTAAGGGCTTAGAATCCAGAAACAATCTCAGCAATCAACTTGGTAACTGCTCTTACGTTTTACACAGATCACGTCCACAGGATTGCTGTAATATGCGTCTCGATCTCCACGTATCCAAACATTATTTACATTCCTTATGCCCAGTATCCGCAGAAATGACAAGAGACATTGGTCTGTCCTTGATTCTGGAAGGGCCATCTGTCTATTTCCGCATCGGGCCTTGGCACCCTGTGCCAAGTGAGTAGCTTCTTGACTAAAGCGGTAAAGGTCGTACCTGGCACATGTGTGTACCCGTGGGCGTTCTGTGTGAACATCAACACGAAAGCAAACATACACATAAACACAGTTAAAACCGAAATCTGTGGAGGAGAAATCGACAATCTGCAGTATAGACACTTGCCATTCAAGGGTAGTAGCCTGAGCACAGGACAGTTTAAACTGCCAGAGGGATGAGGCGTATTCAACCACAGGTCGAACATATCCAGTTTACAAGCGGCTGGCAACTGCTGGGGTGATACGCTTGGTCATATGTGGCTCGGCAGGATCGCTCGCTGGTCGAACTCTGTCGTGTTGGTGGCGATCTGGCTGGTGAAGCCGAGGTTAGGGTCCAATACAACCCATCTGTCCCTACACATCACTCTTCCAGAGCAGCTCGTGCACAGTTCGATCCGAAGATGCCCTGTGCTAGGCAATTGAACACTGCTATCGAGCAATCGATCAGAGCCAAGTCACAGGTGTCGTCTTCTGTGGAATCAGCTAAGTAATACTGCCACACGCACGAGATGTCTAGTTGTGTCGTATGCTAGTGTATGTATTAGTCACGCGTACACTGCGGGACTCACAAGAGAATCAGATTTAATCATGATCATCTGCTCTTCCAAGCGCACCTTGTATTTTGGTCTTTTCCCCCGCAAAGACATAAGTAATCAATCAACTTCCGCAGCACTGTGCAAACTCTGGCGGCGGACTTTGCTGGTTCGCTGACGATCTTCCGAACAGACGGCAGTTTGTGTCAGGCTGCGCCGCAATATCAGAATCTGTGTTCAGCTTCTTCACACGAAGGGTACCACCTTGTACTGTCTTGGGACCACACTGTTCTGTTCTGTGCATAAGCGCGGGACATTCCACGCCTGCCATCCTCTGGAGGGTTTACATCACAACTCAATGCTGACGACACAGCAATGTACAAAGCGGGCATGGATGTGCAGGAAATCTGCACTACCAACAACGTACATATGCATTGCAAGTCAATTGCCTGAAGAGCATAGGACTTCCAGTAAACCCTCAGGTCAAGATATTCCTGGCAATATGCAGTTACTATCCTTTACGTTCTGGGAACCAAAGCCAATGTCAGCCAATACAACCATCTCCTTCTATGAAGTAGATCAGCAAGGAGCCGAGCCTGCCACCGATCTCGGTATTAAAGTTGACGACCAGCTAATATTCAGCCAGCAAGTAGATCGAGTTGAGTAGAAATTGGATGTAAGATAGGAGCTCTTCAGAGATCATTCCCCACTACACCCATTGCCTGTTGTTGCCAAGCATACCAGTCTCCAATTCAACCTGATATTGAGTATGTATGCAATGGATGTTTTCCTCTTCTTCTATTTCCATTATTTTTTAATACAAGTGCTCATGAGCAAAGAAAATCGAAAACTGCGTCCAAGTACAACTCCCCTACTGTGTCAGGTACAACTCCCCTGCTGTGCAGTGCAAATGGGCTATGTGTTATGATGCGCTGATCGCTGGAAACCGGCTAGCTCACTGCGGGTCTGTGTTTTCGGAGCCCTTGCTGATATCTTCCAAAAACTTTGTTCGGATTGCATTGGGTACTGTCAGTCAACAAGTATTCGGCGCATTTTTTAATTTTCCGCTATTTTCCGCCTGGTCCTGTTTGGCTGAAAATTTGTTGCGGCCAAAATCTTGTTTTCCAATGTTCAGTGTGACAGTGTATACATGAGGCAGCAGTACAGGCCGAAAATCTGATGCAGCCGAAATGCATGGGTTTTAGCCCTGGGAGGCCAGAATTTGAACGCGCCGAACATTTCTCGCCTTACAGTACAGTATAAGCCGACAGTCGGCGGGTACACAATTCAAGTTACGCACTACCACAAGAACCATGACAACGACGAAGGCATGGAAACAGCTACACAACGCCTCTTTACCAGCAAGCGCAGCCATGAAAGATTTTCATGTTGTCGGCCTGCCAAAACCAAAACAGCAACAAAACAAAATGCCCTTCATATCGTAAACTCATCTGCAGCTCGTAAGGGCTCAGAACCCAGGTCTACCTCAGCAGGCAACTCAGACAGTGTCCTTACGTTTTGCACAGATGATTGACGCAGCTGGCACGGGATAGATAGGAATCAGCACTCCCTCTACACCAGATGCTGTCATTCTTCCGGCTATAGTACCCTGTTTGCCGTTGATCCAAGCCGGGGGTCCGGCCAGTTTGCTTAAGAACCGGAATAGACAATCTTGCATGCCAATCTCTGGAAGGGCCATGTTCCTGTCTCTACACGCTTTCTCCGCACCATCATACGAGTGGTGTCTGAAGCCCTGCTCAATGTAGAAAAGGTCGTAAGAATTACCACATTCGTGCTTCACATCATTCCAAGTGCGCTCTGCATGCAGAAGCAAAGCATGAAGCACAAATGTGCACACAAGCTGAGTTAGCACAAAATCGATGGCGAATAAGAAGTTAAAGAATTCTGTAGTCGGTAGCATAGGCACATGCAGTTACCTCTGAACTTCAAACCAAATAACCAGGCATGGAACACACCATGCTCAATACACGGTGGCATTGATAACAACGAGGGGGCGTGAGAGCCAAGCAGCCCTCGCTATGATGATAGAAAAAGTTACTTAAACTCCAAGACCTGAGGTACATTCTACCAAGCTTACTATTTTATTAAGCTATGGTGCCAGCCTATAAATGTTTCATTTTTCCTATTTTTGAACACATAAGAATCATCTTCTAAGCCAAAAGGATTGTTTTGTGTGTATTGTTTGTGTCATTAGTTTACAACTTGTAAATTGCTGGTAGACCACATGACATTAACTTCCAAATCAGCCTGGAAATGGTCACGCTATGACCCTGTAACAGACTCAGCCATGCGGCAATAGATGACTTGCACAAAGATTGTCTGGGTTCGAGACGGGGCAAGTGGACCTTCTGACTCTGACTTCCCCACCTTTTGAGTTCGTGACTTTCGAAGTTTCGCTTTTTGCCTGACGAACACTGAGCTAGTTTTTTGGCTAGAGAGTAGAGTTGTTTTGATTCGGCTTGTATCGTCATGCCGAAGCGCCGCTGCGCTCCTGAATGCACTAGCAGACGAGAGATGGAACTTAGGCTCCCATTCCATACGTTCCTTGCCGAGCCGGCCGGCCGGGAGGCAGAAAAATGAGGGAATATTATTTTAGTATCATTGACATTGGTGTAGGCTGCAACAAGCACATCGTGGTCCTGAAGTGCGACTACTTACCCGCAGTGGAAGCGAAGGTAAGGACAACGAAAGTTTGTGGACGTCTGAGAAAGAACTAGATTCCCTTTGATTCGGCTGCACTAGCTCCATAGCGACCCTCTCCTGAGGACAGACTGCGGAGAGGCCAGGAACCTGCCGAGTCACGAGTGGAAGCCCAAACCACGAAAATGAAGGGTGGAAGGACTGAGTGTGAGAGCCAGATGGCCTTTACTAGTACTTCAAGTAGTATCTGAGTTGAAGGAGAGAACAAGTGTGCTGGAGAAACGCTGCGAAGTCCTCAGGCCTGATGTGTACTGCTACTGTTGAAGTCTCACTTGTTCCGATATGAACATTTCATCAGCCCTGACTCTGAGCAGCTGTATCTAGACTTGGACTTAGGCCAGAGACATAGCATTGTAAACCTTACTGAAGCCATATGTATCCAATGCCTGGCTCTAGTGAGAAAGCAGTTTGGCGCAGGCTCGCAAACTATGATTGAATCAGGGAGTGGTGGAAAGTCACATTATACCTCTCCATGACTAGCTGGTAATGACGACGATGCGGCTCTGGCTGGGTCTCATGGGAAAGTAACTTGCATACCTGTTTAGTTGCAACGAGGCAACGGTACCCCATGTACTGAAGACATGATTGAACTACATTTCATCTCCTCCTGGGAGAATGTGGAACAAATAATGCCAGAGTGTGTCTGACACACATCACAGTCTGCTGAGTGTGTTCATTATTGTGGACGTAACAGAACTGCGCTGCGAGGTACCTTCTGCGTAGGACCTACAGTTGAGCCACTACTCTTCTTACAAATTCAATACAACGGTGAAAGGATTTGTTGGAGCATCATCAAACAGTGCATTCACCTTCATCATACATTGGCTCCGTTGCCTACAGTAGTTCACATTTTGACGGCGCGCGCTGGGACGATGCGGAAGGAGCGGCGGGAACCATTGGAGTGCTCATGATGCTGGTTAGCGGAGCCGGATGTGAGTGTCAGGAACGGGAACGCAACTGCACTACTGTACTGATCAGGAAGTGATGGAAGAGTTGAATCTGTTCAACCTTCCATGCCGTGTACAGGGACACAAGCGTAAAAAATGGCTACATTTCGAATGTCAACTGGCGATGGCATTGTGTGGCGACGAACACAACTGCAACTGTTCAATTTTCAGCATTTCGAACATTACACGTCCCATGATAACTCACTGAATGGCTCACATGACGGAGTTGGACATTATCAGGCTTGGATTATCATTTGCTGTATTTATGGGTAGTCCTTGAGTTTTCAGATGAAGTGCTTTATCTTTTACCTGTCGTTCCTTTAGAATGGCACAATGTCCATGACTGCTTTCTTGTCTTCATAACAGACTGGTATAATCAGCATGATTCTGCTTTATTTGAGAAGAAATAAAACTTTCCTTTCGGAAAGGAAGCTCAGAAACGTCAACCCCCATGGGCTGTGCTGTATGACTCTCGTCCATCGACGTTAACTGTCGCAATAACCGCTGCATGTATGTTGTGCCGTGCGAACCGTACACGATTTTACAGCTCGCCCACGCCTTCCCAACAGGCTCCTATATCCCGTACCGTTAGCGTTACATTGAATATGAACTAGGCTAGCACAGTTATCCTTCGTTCTTTTGATGGCGGCGGGTAGCATGGAACATGACGTGTTCTTGGGATTCTCGTGCAACACTTGCTGCTCCCGGATGCCATATTATTGGGTGCATCGAGGTTGCTGCTATGCTCACTGTTGTTTGGTAAGACAATTTTTATATAACTATTTCACCGAAGAATAAGGCAAGAGTATTTTGGGTTGGTTTGGACGCCTGGCTTCTCTTCACATAATATACACTCATGTACTTCCACTAGCCCTACAAGTGCACATGCATGACTCATGTCTGCTGAAGACAGTGCACACTACTAGTGTCACTAGTGACGGTACTGATCATGTACATGTACATGTACATGCCGTGCACCGTTCATTCACGCTGACAAAAAAAGTACACTACAGAATCTGATGGTGTCGCGTGCCCGCGCGCGCAGTGTAGCCTGGGTGCACCATGGTGCACAGGGTGCACTTGCCCCGTCTCACTCGCGGCTCGGATCTTTGTGCAAGTCATCTATTATGGACTAAGAACCGAGATCGTCCGCATAACTCACCAGGGATATGTCCTTACCTTTAGCGCAGATGACGGACTTTAGATGGGAAGTTGGCACTGGAAGGGAATCACTACTGGTCTTTGCCAGACCATCTGCAATGCCAAAGATCCAAGCAGGAAGTATGCCAAGTTTCTTGACAAACAGCGAAAGACACTCCTTCGTCTCTATCAGCGGAAGTTTCATTTTTCCTTTTCCACATTGAGCTACCGCCTCGGAGTAGTGGCTGACGGTTGCGTTTATAATGTAGTAAAGCTCATAGTTCTGACATTCATGGTTCACGGTAAGTGTCAGGTGGGGCGAGGGGCGCTCTGTGCACAGAACAACACAAACACCAGCAGGAAAAGGCCATGCTAACATTAATGTACTGTGTTATTTTAGTCGAATTCTGAAGATGGGTTTTGGCCAGCCACTTGCACTGTATGTAAATATTCAACGTACAAATTTCACATCAAGCAGACCGTACCCCACTGCACACTTATGCTAATGTACATGAAGCTTGAATCCAATTCATGGCCTTCGGAGATTTGGTGATTTCTTCCAGCCATGGATGCCCGTCTGTAAATGTGTGTTTGCGGGGGATTGGAATGTCGTAAGGGGCCCATCCGTGAATACCGATATTTGTTTAGAAAAAAAGGCATTTCTCTCCCCCCCCCCCCTTCTCCGTGAGAAATGAACACAAATGGTTCAAAGTATCGATATGTTTTGACTCTTTTTATTCTGGACGCGCCAAACATACAAACTGTGCATCGATATATTTCGACAAGTGGACAGGCGCTCAACCTCCTCCCCCATCCTAAACGACTGGTTTAGATCAGTCGATTTGAGCCAAACATTTCTGAAAATCGTCTAAAGTTTTATCCGTTGGTCGGTGGGTAATTAATAGTAGAAGTATCGTTTTGATTGGGTGTGTGGAATTTGCGGGGCTACTTGCAAGCTGAACAACTTTGTTTAAAAAATAGAACTGAAGGTACTAGTTATCTTACTATTGTTTGTATTGATTGGCAAGCTCACTGTTTTTACTTTTTTGAAAATGTCATGAAATAGTGGCAACGTCTTCTTAGGAAAGGATTACCTCCCACACCGGAGCTCTCACTTGTTCGTCGACTTGACTGGACTTTTTTACGCTGGTGATGGTTTGGCCTGGAGAGCAATATATATGTTGTGCTCTTCAGTCACAATCTTCCTCAGCTTACTCAAGCTCAACTAGTACATTGTCTGTCTTTCTCCTTTGTTGTCTCAATCATTATTTTCTTTTGTCTTCTTCTTCTTCTCTCTTTGTTATGGTCTATCAGTAGGAGGTGTATCTGTAAAAAAATAAAAAAAATGAGGAGGGGTGAATTTCCCGAAACACTGTGTCCCGAGTACTGAGTGGTCCTTTCTTGCATGAGTGCCGAGTCGAAGTTTCGGTGGACCTCTCGTGTGCTTAAATTCATGTTGTTGTCGTAAACTTGGACTTTGTGTTGACTTGGTCTTGTAATATCAGTAATGTGGTGTCTTAGTGTTACTCACAGAAAAACAGTGCAGTAACATCTGCTCAGGCATTTAGTCTAGTACTGCTCTTCTTAAATTGGACCCTTATTACAAGACTCTCCTGTTCTTTTCCATTTCGTTTTCCTATTCTCACACGCTCACAGTCAATTCTGCCGTCATGAGGCGTGAGTAGCAATACGAGAATAGTAATAAATAATAGTGTTACTATACAGTACGAAGTAGTGGTTGCGACTTCGGCGATAATTTGTAAGAAAGGGTTTGCTCCCCACACCGGAGCTCGCGCTATTCCGCCGACTTTACTTGACACTTGACTGACTCACGACTGCCATCCAGAGCACACGAGAAGTCCATCGAACCTTCGACTCGGCAAACCTGCAAGAAAGCACCACTCCCTGCTCAATACACAGTGTTTCGGGGAATTCACCCTTCATCAGTTGAGCTTGAGTAGGCTGAGGAAGATTGTGCCTGAAGAGCACCACTTATTTAGTGCTCTCCAGGCACAAACATCACCAGGGATACAAACTTACAGAGACGCTCCGTTTCCAGCGCGACAAACACCTCGTGAACACCAGATAGCAGCGTGAATCAGTGTCGCTCCTGGAGGGTGAGACAGACGTGTTACTATACAACTTACTTATCCAGCAAATCTTGGGTTGCCTGTGGCTAACATTACGCGGGTGCAAATCACTGCTACGAGCGGAACCGAGAACGTTTTGTTTAAGCATCCAGTATGAGTGGTAAGTCGATGTCCAGCGTGTCAGCGAATCCATGCAGTAGTGTCTTAGTGTTACTCACAGAAAACAGTGGAGTTACATCTGCTCAGGCATTTAGTCTATTTCTCCTCTTCTTAAATTTGACCTTTTTTACAAGACTCTCCCTTTCTTTTTCATTTTGTTTTCTCACTCTCACACACACATGCTCACAGTCAAGTCATGAGTCCCATTCGGGATGGATAGGAGAATACTACTAAAATAATAGTGTTACTGAACAACTTACTTATCCAGCAAATCTTGAGTAGACTATGGCTAACATCACGCTGATGCAAATCACTGCTACGAGCTGAACCGAGAACGTTTTGTTTAAGCATCCAGTATGAGTGGTAAGTCGTTGTCCAGCGTGTCAGCGAATCCAGGCAGTAGTGCAGGAATGGGAACGGTATGATTGAGTTATCCTGCTGTGGGTAATCGCAGCTAGCTACAGCCTGATAGTAAGTTGTTAAATTTGTGGGGAAAAGGTTAAACTTGTCATTTGTCCAGCAACTTCCCTTCTCTTCAAGCTTGGCTAAAGAGACAGAAAAGTCATAAAAGAAAATGCAACACAATGAGCGAATCAATGGCAAGCCGCTAAACTACCAGATTCCTAACATGGTGCTGCAAGTTGAAAGTTTGTATTTACAACAACAGCAGTAGGTTTGTGATTATGCAGATACTTGGTCCGACTTATTAAAATGTGCGCTTCGCTTCAAAACTCAAGCCTATGTCCAAAGGAGCACCTGTACTAAAAAGTCGACCAAGAGAGGATAGATAGATAACTACTGTGTCGTTTCTTGGCCTGACCTTCTAGTTTCCATCTCTGCTGGCGTCTCAGGGCGCTTCTTCAAGTGCGTCAACCTGCAAAACGTCGACATTTTTTTCATCTCCTCCAAGCTACACTGCGCTTCCTTGATTTTTTCACTCCATAGGCACGATTTAGACGATCGACTTTGCCTCCTCCTCGTGCAGTACGACTGCCAGGATGGTGGCTGTAGGTGTTTTCGCCTGACGCTCCCACGAGACTTTCAAATGAGGCGAACAAGTAAACCACCACGCAAAAAAACATCACTTCTCATCACCGTGTGCCGCGCGCGTAGAACTAGTACTGAGTCTGATCTGTGTCGACATGACTGTCACACAGTCAGCTGCATCGTGCTCTTCCCTTGCTCTGCCTGTTTCACGAATCCACTGGCCCCGGAGACTGGCGATGTTGTGACGCATCGATCGCGATCAAGGCTCCGAGGAGTCGGCGAGGACTCCGCACCGTATTCACCCTTTCTGCGCTTCAGTTTTCCAGCCAGGTTGTCGCCTGAAAGTCGACCTCAAGGGCGGTTGTTTATATCGATCAACTTCTCGACGATGTCTTCTGTGATCTTGATTTGTCGGCCGCCACATCGTGAACGAATGCGAGAGAGATCAGCACAAAATGGACGGAGCGATGCAGGTGCTTTCTGCACGAGTTTCTGGATGACGCGTTTGCTGAACTTGCTTGATTCTTCCAAGGAACCAGCGACTGCAGCGATTTCAATCCGCCAGGAAGCACTCGAGAACGATCGCCCAGTAGTTTCTGGTACTCCGTGACAATTCCCCATCGAAGTGGGGTGTTGATTTCAGCACCAGGCCTTCACTGTGTTGCGCAAGAAGCAACAGGAGTCCTCTGACGACAAAATTTGCACGCTAAATTCTCGAGTCGACTAGGATCCTGAGGCACTGCCTCCTTTGGGGTTGGAGCCATTTCTTCTTCAACATCACAAATCGACAACTGAAGGATAGTGTTAGGTAGCTGGAAAGTTTGTTCCGTCCTGAGATTATTTGAATTTGTTTGTCTGACGTTCGAAGCGAAACGCACATTTTAATAAGTCGGACCAAGTACATGTATACAGCAATGTTGCTACAAGTTCATGTTCAAGTAACATTCCAAGCTCAAGTTCAAGTGCAATGAACATTCCATGTTCATGCGAAAGTAACATTCCAAGCGGACTTGGCATGCTAGAGTTATGTTCTGGATGTTCACAGCAGACAATAAACTCCCATGCTGAGGCAATTCGGTCTGAACATGCACAAATAGTCATACTAAACGAAAACGTCGAAAGATTTTTGTGCGTACACCTGTTCCCGGGCCTCCTCACTGGCTAAACACCTCAGTGATGCAAAATGAAATACTCGATATGAATACTCACGTGATGACTTGCACAGGATTGAAGCAATCAGCATGCTAGTGGTCTGTTCTTCTGTCATCATCCTGACAGCTAGTGGAGCGCTTGTGACTGGGTTGAGCGCCCAGACGAAACTGCCTGCAATGTTCAAAAACTTGATTTCGGGAATGGAATTCCTGATTTCAAGCACTTCGTCCAACATCATCAGCCTTGTGCCCATGTCCTCACACGCCATACTAGCCCGATCAATTGTTGTATTATGAGGGCTGTAATACCAGTGGTGTTTACCAGCTACCAATGATGCTACAAGATGCACACAGAGGAGAGCAGAAGAGAACAAACATCAAGGAGTGCATAAGAGTGCTGTTTGTATGTCTGTTTATCTCTCTGTCTGTATATTCAAGTACAATCCATTGGGAAACTCCAAGAAATTCCACTTAAAACAGACGAAATTCAGTTTTCAATGGCCGATGCCTACCCCAGCACCATCCTGCGTCGACAGGCCTGCCAGGCGCCTTCTAGACCCACGTAGCCAGAGGTCGACTGCATGGATCACTGCAAATTGGCTGCGAACTCGCACCCAAGCCGTGATGATTGAAAATGGCTTGTCCCACTTGAGAGCGAGGCGACCAGCAAGTCGCTTCTGATAGCTGGCGTATTTGCGATGTGGCACCCCATCCGTGGAACAAACCAGTGGTGTGAATGACCCACGGAGGGTCGCGTTAGCAGTGCGGTTGGAAGTAGCTTCCCAGGATGAATGGGAGTAACTGGGTGCTTTGGCATCAATGATGCGATTATCACAAAAATGCCACCCTGTTATCCTCCCACACACCCCGGGCAAGCCAATCTGCCCGAAGAGCAGGCTGCCCCATCCGATCACCCTCCGGTACCATGATCGGCTCTACGACAACACCACCGAATGCCATATCAGCTAGGTTTGCATCGCTATCACGCAGATCATTGTGGCCTCGCTTGATAAGTCCACCTTTCGGGAAGTCAAGGACATGCTGGAGAGAGAAGGGCTTCCCGCAACTGTCGTATCCATACTATTTACACATGCCTTAAGGCCTCTACGGGACAAGTATGCCTTATTTAGATGTCTAATTATTTATATATCTCCCATAAACGGGTTCATAATCGTCTTTATTTTATGTCTTCACACACGGCCTGAGGCCTTCCTTATTTGGTATACGCTGTTGCTTCCCCACATGACTCCCGCTCTTTATGCAACAGTTCGTACACATATTTACTACGGTTTGATACGCTATTGCATGCGGGACCAGCAATCTCGTGGCCATGGATTTCCCTGGCCGCAACTAGATATTATTGCTATCACCTTGCTTTTCTCTCTCTCTCTTGCTTTCCGCCTTCAGGCGGAAGCTTCGGCTTTCGTCTGTCTTGCCTTGTGCTCTCAATATCGTCTCTTGAACTAAGTTAGCTCCTTTCAAGATGTGAGTATACCTGAACGCTGGTGTGAGTGTACGTGTCTGTATATGCCTGAGTGTGAGTGTGAGAGTATGTCTAGGTATATGTGTGTGCGTGCGTAAGAGTAATTCTGTTGGTGGACTCTCTCCAAGTGGCCACCACTGCACAGCCTTGTAATGTGAAGGTTTAGTAATTTAGTTCATGTCGAACCGCAGCCTTGGGGTCTAACCCCGGGCCGACCGGATACGACACAACCATCATATTGCGTTGGCAGGGCAAGCGGCTGCTGACCATAGTGGATGGCAAGTTGATCGCGGAATTCTGTACTCGATAGATCATACCCCTCGCGCTTCAGGGGCAATACCATAAGCCATCCGGAGGCATTTCCCCGTACGATGCGGGAGAGGGTGCGCTCCTCAAGCTGTGGCAGGTCACTGAGAATTGATTGGCTGATTTCAGCGGAAATCACATCTCGTTCCCTGCTGATTTGGCTTGTGATGCGGCGACAGTGAGCGCTGTGATCAGTTACGTTTACGGGGTTACCAGATTGGATGGAGTTGACAGGATCGGCCAAAGCCAAGCCACCATACTTGACTGGCAGGGTGAGGAGCTGGTGTTCCTGAGGAAGAACTGCTCCAGAATTGCTGGAGCAGTTGCTCAAATTGCTCCAGGATGATGTCTCGAAGCGGAGTAAACTCCTATTCAAGACCCTGGACAACATGCTGGAGGTATGACACTCACATGAGAGCGAGCGATTCAACGCACAATACGCCGACTAGGGGTATTTCCTGGCAGCAGCGGCAAGGCAATTGACACTGCTCATCCACGTCTCCACTCTCTCCTTGACAAACGATTTCACTCCGTCAGGTTCACCAATACAGCCTCCTAGAAATCCGGCGGATGTGGCTAATTGGATGTTCAGATCCCCAAAGATATCATCAGCTTGCTGAACGAGATCCAGGGAAATAATAGTGATATTCTTTGTCGGCTCAACTTGGTAGTCGAAAGCTTCACCCTGATCAATAAGGCGGTCCAGCCACTTCCTGATGTTGCGCAACCGTCCCGCACAAGAAGAATCATCAGCGTACCAGTTTTGGGTGTGCTGGCTGGGTTCCTTCAAACTCTTAATCAGAGGGTGCAGGCCAATGGCATACATTAGCATAGCCAGGGCACATCCCTGAGTAGTACCTTCCCGGCTGAGAAGGGTATGGACCTCAGATGTACAGGAACCTTTCAAGATGATCACAGCGTACCCACGGTAGGCGTTGAATACAAACCTTGCGCATCTCGGCCAGAGCACCCGGCAGTTCCATAGAGCCGCGGGACGGCTTAGCGAGTTAAATGCATTAGCTGCATCGACAAGAAGGAGTCCTTCGGTGTCATCCTCTGTGAAAACGTCGCTCATTGCACCAACTGCTGCCTCAATCCCAGCTTTTGCACCCGAGCATAGCTGGTCAGCCCCACAGACCTCCTGGACATCAATTCCCGTAGCAAGGGCCATGGCCTTTGCCTCAATGCGCTGCCTGCATTCACCCACTCCGATTGGCCGCACTCCTGGTAGCTTGTCCAGCGCAATGCCTCTCCGAGCAAGGAATGCTCGCATGTTGCACCAGGGCACAATTCCATTTGCATGTCGACGGGTTGAGGCGGCCACAGCTTCCCGCAGGCAACCGCTGGCGTTGCCACGTGTTAGCAAGAACGTTATCCACTGCTCAGAGTTGGTCCCACTGGGACCGGCACTGCCGAAGAGTCGACGGGCCCCCTGTTTTAATCATTGCAACAGGGATATGAAGATTCTCCAGCAGGGGCAGATCCTCGCATTCAAGGAATGCTCTTGGATCGGCGGGTTGTTGCTCCGGGTGTTTCTCTTGCAGCACATCGTACACGATCCTACCAAGTGGGTCAGCCTTGCCATGAGCCTCACCACCGGGGTCCAGTACACCTCCACCACATCAATCTGTGATTAGACGCACCGCGGATCTGACCCTGCCTTCGAGCATAAGACGGTTGAAGGTCCGCTCTATTTGCTCTGGCGACATAGCACACATACTGGTCAGCAGCTGAGTATCACACCGTTTAGCCTCACGCAGTAGTTCAGAGTGGTGACCATTCTCCCACATATCCATCCGTCTTGTGAGGAGTGGCCGGTTGTCCTTTCCTTTGCGAATAGACTTGTTACGTTGCAGAACGAGAGCAGTGAAAAGAAATTCACACTCTGAAGGTTGTTGGCTATTGTTGCATTTTTTCTATTTCTTCAGCTAAAATGTTGGCGAAGCGTGTTCCGACCCCTCCGTCGGGCAGGCCATATTGCTTCCCATGCAAAGATACCACTTTCCACCACATTTGCCTGATTTCACAATCCGGACCACCGTCGGAGTTGACCAGTTCAGCTCCAAACGCTCTCTGGAATTTTGCGCTCAGTAAGGCAGTATTGACTGCATCATTATCAAATTCAACTGTGGCCTCGGTGACGGCGGTGTCGTTGAAGCCCGGTTCGACAATAGGTTAGGCCTGCGACCCAGCAAGTTCCGTCAACAGCCGGACCTCAGAGTCGGAGGGTGACGCCGCGAGTTCACCTACGACACTTTGTAGCGGCGGGTCAGCCCTCGGCCTCGGCGGGTCTCCAGCCGTTGAGACAGTTTCCGTTGAGACAGTCTCCGCTGCGACAGCCACGGCAGCTGTTTGAATCGGTACGGTTCGGTTTGAGCATTTCTGCTTCCTGTCAGGAGTGCAATTAGTGCAGGAGCGACTTTCCTGTCGGCATGAGCAATTTGTTCGGCAGGTCTCATTCCCGGAGCAGGGGCAGCACCGGCGTCCTTTGGGACATGGAGCCTTCTCACTACTCTTGTCAGCCATACAGGCAACGCTCGCCATGACTACACTCACATACAGCAAAGCAGTCAGCGCAGAACAGTCGAAGCAGAAGCAGTCAGTCAGAGCGTGCAGTCAGAGCTACAAAACCACTAACCATCTCCTACGAAGACACTCCGTCCATCTGTCGGTCCGTTCATCCGTCTGTCCATCCGTCCATCTATCCGCCCATCCATCCCTCCATCCGTCCGTCCGTCCGTCAGTCCGTCCACCCGTTAGTCTGTCTGTCTGCATGCCCGTATTTCTGACGACCTGTCTGACTGTCCGTCCATCTGCCCGTCCGTCTGTCCATCAGTATGTTTGTCTGCATGTCCGTATTTCTGACGCCCTGTGTGACTGTCCATCTGTCTGTCTGTTCGTCCATCCGTCCATCCGTCCGTCCGTCCGTCCGTCCGTCCCCCCCCCCGCCCGCCCGCCCGCCCGCCCGCCCGCCCGCCCGCCCGCCCGCCCGCCCGCCCGCCCGCCCGCCCGCCCGCCCGTTCGTCCGTCCGTCCGTCCATCCATTCATCTATAAACGGTAATTAGTAAATAACATCATAAAAACTTACCCAATTGACTACATTGTGGCAGGTTTGTGTACCCTCTAAAATATGGGTAACTCACGGACGTATGTGCATTGTGGTGTGTCCCGCCTGCACATGGAGGACTGGTGCAGCGTTCAAAACCCGGCCACACGCATTTGAATGTCCCTGTCTCCTTCTCCACGTATTTAGATGGATCATTCTGCGCGATGGTGATACCATCTGTAAGGCAGAAAAGCAATCAGTGGTGCAGCTGTAAGATACAATGATCGAACCAGGGTCCTCTCACAGATATGATCACAGACTGCATTGGGCGTGTTTGCCAAAGCACAATGTCTTGATGATGGGTCTAGAGGGAGTCCTACACACTGCCCTTGGTTTCCACTGCACTCACGGCTCAAGAATACTGAAATTTCACAAATCTTCGGTGTACTTTTATTTTTGGTCCTTTTCGGTGCGTGTGTTTTATACTCACTTGATCCGCCCAGTTACAGTTGGCGCTTATCTTCACACTTGTCTCAGTAAGAAAATACAAATATTTGAAGCCTGCCACGATCACCATGTACATGATTATCTACATGTCAGTAAGCAACTCAGCCGAAAATTCAAGCAAGTTACATGTCCTCCTCGCCACTATCGTCAGGCGCTGGAGGAAGAGCTCAAGACATTCGATCCGGACAGCTGCTGCGCGTTTCATAGCTTGTTCCACTTCTCCTCATCTCGAATCACGATCAAAGGCAGTGCGTGTCCGCTCAGAACCCGAGTGAGACTGCCCGCATGTTGGCTGTAAGTGTTATCCCCGTTCATCGCAATGATGAATGCCTTTTTTGAGACAAAAAGGCAACGCAACATCAGCAGTGTACTTTTTCAAATCGCCTCTTGCGCTTGTTGTACTTGCTGATCAGCACCCACACGAACCACTGGTGTTTGTACATGCAGGGCAGTGATAGCTTCCTCGTGATGTAGCACCTGTGCGTACTGCACCTAAGTCCTTACGGCTTGCACCGGTCTGTTCGGCTAGTTTTCCTGAAAGTCCTTTGCACGAGAGTTTCCCTCAGGACTCGGTGTTTATTTTGATTCCTCGGTCCTCTGTGAGCTTCAGAGCCTGTCCGACGGATTGGTCTCACTGTCTGGAGATGTCGACATCAGCTGCAGTTTCTTCGTCAGGTTTGTTGGTGATAACTCTTCGCTAAGCACTGTACTGTGCGATCACTGAAATTCAAGCTCGCGAAATGCTTTTTCAGCTTTTCTATAACTCCCCGCGGCAAACCATCCTTACCACTAGACAGCTGGAAGTAAGCAAAAACTGTATTCTTCATCACTCCGAAATCCCGACCTATTTTATGGACTGGAGCGGAGGTTGCTGCATTTTCTTGCGCTGACTTAAGTGTTCGTCGGTGGCAGCTCCAGTTGTCCTCATATCGAAAATATTGGGGGAGGGGGTGAGTGGATTAAATAAGTCTCACAACCACTGGCACAAGTGCCGAGAAACCCCATGTCACGCGAAATAAGGCATCTATGAGTGCCATCAAGAGTTTAGAACCACCGAGAGTGTGCAACTCCTAATACCCTTTCTATGGGGTGCGCCGACGGCGAAAATTCACATCACGTGGTGCAGTGTCGCTGTTGTACGTTTCCAGCTCGTTTTAGCAAGCAGCGGAGTAATAAAAAAAGCACTCTCTGACAGAAACTCACTGCGGGTATGCAAATTCCCAACATGATCATGACAGACGTTCGGATTGCGCGCACGCTAACTTTCGTTTGTGCATAATACAAAATGTATCTGAGACACGTGATGTGAGTTTTCGCCGTTGGAGACCCTATATGCAGAGTTGCACACTCTTGGGGGGGGGGGGTTATGTACTCTTTGCTGGGAGAGCAGACATGTACTCGAGTTTCATCATGACCACGTTTTTCTTCTTCTTTTTCTTTAGCTCCAGTATAGCTGTATTCTTCATTACAAAGCCATCCTCAATTGTTGTGTTCGTTGTTCAAACGAAGTGGACATTCAATCAAGAAGGCAGAGGACATAAGAGCCTGATTGGAGTTTCTAGGACGGCCACACAGAGACACGCAAGATGCAGAGTTCAATTTGTGCGATATAAAAATTGTACGTGATCTACCGCACCGAGCAGAACGGGATCCAAAAACAAGCTTACAGACGGTTAGGCTGCCGACATGACTGGACAAATGATCCCTGGATTCACCAAACGCCAGAAGTGGGAAAATGTCGTTTGCCGCGACGTCCATCTCCAAAACGAAACCCATCGTCGTCTAAAAAGACTTGACATACTCACTATTCAACCAAGCTTCGCCGTCTCACGCTTTC